CCTCCCCGCCCTGGGTGTCCCTTTGCACCCTCACGCGTCCCCTCGGTTCTCCAGGCTCCCTGAAGCCTCCTTCCCTTTCCCCCCCTCGGCTGCCCCCTGGCCCTTCCCGCCTTCCTCGCGGCGCCCCCCTCCTCGCCGCCGCCTTCCCCACCCTTTCCTGTTCCTGTCGCCTTGGCTCGAAAGCCGCTCTAAGTCCCCGGGCCGGCGGGGGTCGGCCGGTGGGTGTCCCTTGGTGTGGAGTTCGCCGGAGGTTTCCCCGGGAAGGAAAAGCGGGGCACGGGGCACGTGGGGATGGACGGTGGATGGGGTTTTTCCCCTTGGCCGCGTGATCTCTCGGCATCCGCTGACGCCGGGTCGCTCGCTCCCCTGCGAAAACTTTGGGGTCGGCAAACAGAAAGGAAGCCAAGGCAGGAACAGGCGATAACCTTTTTTAGACCACTGGGAAAAAATAATACTGTAATTCTGCAAGACACGAGCATGTGTGGACTTGAAAGGTACACACGCTTCATCAGGTTTGTTGTACCAGCATGAAGAATTTGAGCTCCAAAAGCTCAGGGCAAGATGGATTTTCGGATGGTTGCTGTTTCGTGGTTACCGCGGAGGCAGCTGCGGGCTGAGGGGCAACAACCCAATTTTCCCGAAATAAGCAGGTCGTGGGGGTCTCGTGAGCCCCCGAGGGTGTCGATCCCGCGGCCCCGTTTCATGGAAAGAGGGATAACCAGGGAGGGAAATCGGACCTGACTTCTGAGTAAACCTACACCGGATCGGTCTCCTGGTTCTTATCCTGAGCGCCGTTGCTTGGGGGGAAAGCATCCCTATGGAGTGGAGGGGGATTTCGGCTGCGGATCTGTATCCACGTTTTTCTTGGGGTGATTTCCAACTGGATAAGTTGAAGAGGGGAAGGGAAGGAGGAGGTAGGGTAGGATTCAGCTGCTCAAGCCTCTTCTCTTTCCGTTACAGCCACTCTCTCTTCCTGGATGGCTTTTTTTTGTAGCGGTAGGTCTGCCAGCTGGAAGTCGGGGCGAGAGTGCCCGACAGGCTTTGGACCAC